GAATATTCTTCCCATATCTTTTGAAATATTTAGACGGCATTTCACACTAGTCAGTTGTAGGTTAATCGACTATAGTAAAATTGAACGTTGGATTAGAAAACCCGGATTGTTCGTCTATGTCAGTTTCTCTAAGAGAAAATTTAACCGGAAGACTATTTACTTACGCCTGTTACTCCCAATGGAGCATAGGCTGCCGACCAGCAATCTCCAGCCCACTCTGTCCTGGGCCTTCCTTTCTAGTTCTGTCCAATTCTTGTTAATTTTTCTCATATCTGTCTCCATTACTCGACGTAATGTGATCTTTGGTCTTCCTCTTTTCCTTTGGCCTTGAGGATTCCATGTGAGGGCTTGCCTTGTAATGCAGTTCGGTGCTTTCCTCAATGTGTGTCCTATCAACTTCCAGCGCTTCTTCCTGATTTCTTCGTCCGCTGGGATCTGGTTTGTTCTTTTCCATAGTAGGTCGTTGATGATGGTGTCTGGCCAACGGATCCGAAGTACTTTGAGTAAACACTTGTATCTCCTGAATGATGGCTTTCGTAGTTCTCCAGGTTTCCGCCCCCATACAGTAGAACTGTCTCGACATTTGTATTGAAAATTCTGACCTTGGCGTTGGTTGACAGTTGTTTTAAGTCCAAGATGTTCTTTAGTTGTAAATAAGCTGCTCTTGCTTTTCCGATCTGCACCTTCACATCTGCATCAGATCCTCTGTGTTCATCGACGATGCTACGGAGATATGTAAAGGTTTTTACATCTTCCAAATCTCCATCAAGTGTGATTCCATTTTTACATGCTGAGTTTTATCGGAGAATCTTGCTTTTCCCTTTGTGTATGTTGAGACCTACTGCTGCTACACTGGTCCTCTTCTGTATTTGTTGTTGCGTGTGCGATAGAAGAGCCAGATCATCTGCGAAGTCTAGATCGTCCAGCTGCATTCTAGCTGTCCACTGTATCCCATGCTTCCTCTCAGATGTTGACGTCTTCATGATCCAGTCGATCACCAGGAGAAGGGGAAAGGGTGAGAGTAAGCAATCTTGCATGACACCGGTATTTACCTCGAACTAGTCTGTCAAATGTCCTCCATGCACGATTTCGCAGTTTAATCCATCATAGGAATTCTGTATGATATTGACTATCTTCTCAGGTACGCCGTGGTGTTTCGATCAGAAGTCCTTCTTTCCAGTCTGTTGGTACTTGTTCTTCATCCCAAATCTTGCTGACGAGAATGTGGAGTATCTCTGCAGTTACTGTTACATCTGCCTTCAGTGCCTCTGCTGGAATGTTGTCTGGTCCTGCTGCTTTGCCTCTCTTGATTTGTCTGATGACCATGCTTGTCTCTTCAATTGTTGTTGGGCCAACATCGGTTGGGGGGTCCGTGGGTGCTACTTCGATGTTGGGTGGGTTCAGTGGGGCTAGTCGATTCAAGAGTTCTTTGAACTGTTCTACCCACCTGTTTCGCTGTTCTTCGATGTCGGTGATCACTTTGCCCTCCTTGCTATTCACTGGTCGTTCTGGTTTACGATAATTTCCAACGAGTTTCTTTGTTGTCATACAATTATCTCATGTTTCCTTCTCTTGTAGCCTTTTCCACCGTCATTGCTAAACCCTTCATATATTTAAGTTTGTCGGTTCTGATGTTCCTCTTCACCTGCTTGCTTACTTCTGTGTATTTATCTTGTGTCTTGGCTTTCTCTGCTCTTGTTCGGCTGGAATTGATAGTTGCCTTCTTGTTCTTCACTTCTTGAATCTTCTTCAGTGTATCAACAGTGATCCATTCCTTGTGATGGTGCTTCTTGTGGCCCAGAACCTCATGACATGTTGAATTGATTGCGTCTTTTATTTCTTTCCAGTTGCTCTCCATAGTAGTTCTCTCTTCATTGAATAGATCATGAAAGGTCTGGAGTCTATTGCTGAGGGCTGTCCTGAACTTTTTGGGTTTGTCAGTATCCCGAAGAAAAGCTGTATTAAACTTTTGTGATATCCGCCCCATTGTCCAGTGCTTCTTGAGTTTCAATTCCATCTTGACGACTAGTAGGTGATGATCCGATGCTATATCAGCTCCTCTCTTGGTTCGCACATCGCCCTCCTGAACTTTTTGTTATGGTCGTTTTGGTTCCGTGTGGTGTGATCCGGTGAAATTCATGTGGCTTTGTGTATACGTTTATGTAGGAATATGGTGCAGCCTATGAACAGTTTGTTGAAGGCACACAGGTTTGCAAATTTCTCACCATTTTTGTTCCTTTCTCCCATTCCATGTCGTCCCATGATGTCTTCATATCCGATGTTGTTCATTCCAACCTCGGCATTTAGGTCTCCAATCAGAATGGTCAAGTCCTTTGTTGGGCACTTCTCGACGATTGGCTGCAGCCTATCGTAGAGTTGATGTTTAAGGTCTTCATTGTAGTCGTTAGGCGCATAGCATTGGATGACGATCATTGTAAAGCTCTCTCTCCTTGCTTTTGAATCAGGCTTTGGTGATTATTGGTCCTTGAGATTCCCATCCTATAAGTGTATTTTGTGCTTGTTTGGATAGCATCAGTGCAACTTCTTGTGTTTGTAGAGCATTTTCTTCTTCATAGCCGAAGTATAACAGAAGCTCCCTTGAAGCTAGTCGTTGTTGTCCAACCTGCGTCCGATGTGTTTCACTGATTCCAAGAATATCCAGGTTGTATCTTTTCATTTTTCACATTGAACGAGCATTCCATGTACCTAAATAAATGGTTGCTCTGGTTGTCAGAAGGGGCATCAGCCTCGTGGCTTCCGAAGGAACTTGGCTTTCATTATGAGGCGTCATAACTCTTCTAAATGAAGACCTTCTGACTCCCAGGGTAGAGTTTAAGTGGTTTAAATAATTTTTTCTGTCTAGCGTCTTTTTAGCGAGTTAGTTTTATACCCCATGCCCAACCCTCCTCCTTTGCCCGGGCTCGGGATTGGCAGTAGCCCCAGAGGGGCTCCAGGCGGAGTTAATTGGAACACTATAAATTATGCAAATGGACACTTAGCAATCGAGTGATAAATAAGTGATATACTTGTAATATCCCGAGGAGTAGAAAATCTAACTTTTTCTACTCATCGGGATATTACAAATATATTATTTATTTAAAACAATCTACCCAATGCTCAGTTTATCCGAAATTATCAAGTCAAACCTTAGTAATGTATACCTGAATTCAAGTGATAAATCTGAAGCTTTTGTTTTTGAAATATTGGTGGCTAATAACCTGAACTTAATGTTTTTCTTTCACAATTTATAATTTGTTTTACCATTTTGAACACTAGACCTCGTTCCCGTGTACGAATAGTGCTTAACTTTCGACCATACACACTAGGAAAATCAAGTTCCGTTCTGGGAATTAGTGTTGAATACCACAAACAAGAAAATTTATCTATGGAAAAACCCAATTTTAATGTCAAACCAACTATCGAATCTTTCCAAGTTCATTTATTCGGTACAATGAATTAACTTCAAATCTTTCTTATTCCTTGTATTTTACAACTGTATGTCCTTACTGCTGATTTTTATGTATATTTAATATTTCATACACATAGTTCCATTCTTAATCTTGAAGCGAGCAAGAAGAGAATAATATGAATTCATTTTATTTCGTTTGGTTGTCGTTAGCTGCGTACAACCTAATATTTAAAAATCATCATAAACATAATAAGCTATGAAATAACGCTACACTTAGTGCATTAGACGACATCCAACGCCTAGGTTTAAATGGAAAGCTAAGCTCTGAGTAGTTCATGTGAAAAATAGTCTTCTGGAAATTTTCTTGTACCTCATTGACCTTTAGTTAGCTGAAAAAATTTTGCATAACACGCCAAGTGGGTGGGAAATTTGTGCATCAGCGGCAATAAGGGAAGTCGAATCCAATGTGACTATGGTCTAGGACTGACGAGGTAGTGAATCTTCATCGATTGTGATGGTTAAAACATGTATCCTCGACACGTGATAATGGCTGGTGTAGGTGTATTCTGGGAGCGGCCAGACCAAGAATAAGTATCAATCCGTGGAAACACTAATGGACTAAACCATATAGATAGGTGCAGACTACCTGAGTGAGGTCTGCTTGAATATCGCAACGAAAGAACAGCGACCTTGGGTGACATGGTTTAGTATAGTTCGCAATGGTGCGGATTAATTCAATCATTTTTACCCCTCTTAGTTCCTAGGTTCTTAAATTACCTACTAAATCTTTCTTATTCTACTGATCCACACTTCTTCGAATCGTAACTTCGTTACTAATTCTACTCATGGATTCGTCTTAACAATTTCATCTCTCTATGTTTGACTGATGCTTTAGGATTAAATTTGTGGTCGGTCAATGGTTCAGAAGCCTACAGACCTGAATAATTAAGCTGTTATTGCCATTAAAGTCCTACGATAACTCGTGAGTCAATAATCTATGCGCATGAAACATTGTCACTACAAAAAAAACTCACCAATGACATCAAAGTTTTCGGGATTTGTTATTAACGTCTTGAGTTTGGTACCTCTACCTTATTACTCAAATAGCCACAAACTAGTAAATGTGAACCAAGAAAGCAATTGCACCTGTTGGGTAACTAAGTATTTTACTTAGTAAATGCGAACGAGTTTTCGGCAGCAGTGCATGGTTTTACTGACTCGGTCATTTGACGAATTTAGTGGCGTAATGTTCTTGGAATTATCTTCCAATATTTATGAAGGGCAAAGCTAACGAACAAAGAAGAAGTAATGAAGGATATGCCAGTCTATTGGTTTATTAGCAAAAAAGTAACCTAACTAAGTGGTGCGGACAGGATATGTTGCCTCTATTTCATTCGGTTTAGAGCAAAGTCACATAGGGGTTTCTCACTATGGCTAACACCAGCCGGTAGACCTACATGATTCCTAAGAACAGCCAGCGAATTCTACAAGAGGATCTTAGTTTGATAGCTTGGCCTTTTCTATAGATGAAATCGGACATCAAGGTGCCCAATCTCATATGATTATTTAAACAAACTCTCTGTACCAAAACCAAGGAATATGAATTTTAAAATGCTCATCAGTGAGTAATTGTTTTGAAGTGTTTTAGAATAAGCACAAAATACAGTTGTTTATTCACAGGCGAAGAAAATTCTCCCCTTTTCACGGGCTTTATTTAGTTTCTTTGAAAGTTTTCTCGTTCTTCTTGCTTGAATATTGGTGGTTCTTTTAACCTGTCTCTCACGTTTCTTTTCTTCATTAGCCTCTATACGCTTCTTCCAGTTTTTAGCTCGTTTCCGTTTGAGTTTATATACTTTATCAGCTGCCCTTTTCAAAAGTGACATGTCATCTTTAACCTTCACACCTGAAATGATTAAAATTAATTCATAAAATCAGTATACCTTGAGCTCTGAGTGATGCAATTTTCCACTTTTTGCGAATGATATCAACGGATGTCAGATCTGCATTGTTAGTTTCTGATTTTGGACTCTTGTTAGCTTTTTTCAACAATTTTATTGGGTCTCTGCCAACAAATATACCCTGCTTCTCGAGTTTAGCTAGTTTTCTCCTATTTTTCTTTTGAATTTGCTTTTGAATCCCGTAATTTATGATTTCATTAGGGTCGTAAAGCTGAATCTTAGAGAAATAATATTTCTCAGGATTTACTTGTGTCATATAGAGGCGTCAAGGAATGGTAGAATTATTGCCTCAGTTTGTGGTTCTCACTACTAAAAGCAGGAAAAATAACACATCCATAACCTGACTTGGAAATAACTTTTAAGATCCCAACAATATTTACTGTGTTTATTCAAAACTGGTAATAACTTACTTCAGCTATACTAGTGACATTTATTTGTAGTATAGAAATATCTATTTATTTACAAGACAAAAACACGGACTGCTAAGCAATGTCATAACTTCAAAAAAAAACAAGAAAAGGAAACAGGAAAACTGAAGATATTATGAGGTAAATTTTTTATCAGGATGATTTCTTACACATGATGTACACTTTGGTGTTCATGAAGAATACATCAGGAATATACTACAACATCATTATTAAATTTTATACCGAATAATATCTAATGAGGCGGAGTGTTCGCACTCTATCTACCTTAGATATTTCCAGAAAGCTGTCGTAGAATTAAATGTTAGGGACGTACTCTTCCGAAATAACCCAACGTATAGACGTAAACATAAATTATACGACATAGGCGATCGAATACTTTGATAATACAGTCGCCGTATATTATTATCTTAAAAATACTTCATAAACCCACTTTTTACGGAAGCTAGCAACTCGATCTCAGAAATAAGCCTGTGATAATAAACATCAAGAGACCTAATGATCTAACAGTATCAGGTTTTTCCACGGTTTATTTGACAACTCTATGTTATCATCAAATCTTTTATTATGTTGAAGAAATATAGATCCCTTTTACATCGTCTATATTCTGTTGGAAAGTCCCGTCAGAGATAACACTGATGTAAAATTTGAATACACGTGTTACGGATGCTTATATTTTTACGCATTCATTTCAGTAATAAGACAAACAGATGATGAGCAGAGAAAGCAAGTGTGCCTACTCAAAAGATAATGTGTAGTCTGAGATTGGATAAAAGTTTACAAAAACAAACAAATACATGAGACGTATAAATGTAGAACTACTAAGACGTGAATATGAAATATAAGTACTGAAGGTCACAATTTCCTATAAAAAATGGTATTTAGTTATATAAAAATGACGCAGTCGTTGTATACTGTTGCTGAAGTCTGTCTAAAAGTTGGGACCAGCCACTCGTAATAAAATAGCTGCTAAGACCGCGGCTTTCAGATCTCGCCCATGCAAAAACCCAAACAGCCGTGTATATATATATATATATATATATATATATATATATATAATACTGTTGACTACTTTAGTATCTCGCCGTGTTAATTTGATACGGGAACTGATGCACATAAATGCTAGATTTTACGCTGTGAAGACTGATTATTGCCCTATGTTGGCGAAACCGGAAAGATTTAGTGTGTCATTACTGCCGAGTTGAAGCAGCTTCGACTCATTTTGGACTCGACAAATTCTGACTATCAATCAAACAACGTAGACAATGGCAGGTGTGCACATCAGTCCAAGTTAATACATCCCATTAGCAGAGCGAGATTAAATTGTCAGGACGAGTCCCAGAGCATCGAAGTACAGTATTGGTGGTAACATGAGGAGATAGGCACTGAAGAAACGATCTGTGAAATTAGAAAAAAATATGACGGATTTGAAAAGTTAAAAACTACGGGAAGACAAACGGTGAATGCAAATGAGTCCTATACAAAGTCAGATGATGACATGAAATACCTTCGTACACCGTTGTATAGGCGAACGGATAAACTACTTTTTGATGAAGCATTGAGCATAAAAATGCGACTTTCGGTATACGGTTATCTGGATCGCAACATCATAAAGCGAGACATGGATAATAACGAGTTCATTTTTCTGTTGAAAAAAGCGTTACATGTTTCGCTTAGTTCTAAGCATATATAATGATACGGGTTAGACTTTACAACAACATGAACTTCCTGACAGTTTGTTAATCAGGTCATCCTGATATGCGCGAGTTTCACGTTGTAAGGTTAAACAAACGGATACCCCATATGTTGTCTCTTTTATTGCCCTATGGTTATTATTTGACAAGTGATCTATGAAGCAGTGTCAAATTCGTGTACATCCAGTTAAGGAGCGTAATTCTGGCAGTAAAGTTATAATGGAGTGGTTGATGAAAACAAATATGTGAAATGAGGAGAATGGAAAGGAAACACGTGCAGTAGAGTACGATTTTATATTAAACAACAAAATCTACGAACCCAACATTAAATATGCTACGTGATCTTTCTGCTCCCTACTTTGACAATTAAAATACATTTTATCCCTTCGAGACTGAAAAAACAGTCATGAGCTTCAGTAATAAGTTTTCATTGAATAACATCACCATAAAAACCAATGGGAGAGCTGTGAAAAAACTGAAACTTTTACTGATTCAAAGTCATATGTATATATATCTGTCACGATTTTTGGCTGACAATTCTCATTGCTTTTCGAAACATGCTGATCTTATCGTATCCAAAAACATATAGTTCAGTATGATAGATTTTACGCCGTTTATTTATAACCTAATAGATTTAGTTCCGAAGAATTCAAATTGTTCGGGAAGGGATAGAAGCTTTTTCCTCACGGGATTCCGTATCGAGTAGCAATCATCAATGTCGATTATCTCTGTCTAGTGATTGTGGGCCTTTTCGAGTTAGACGTGACCAACACCTAACGACGAAATCACGCCTCGTGGTTAGTACCTAACGTCTATTACCTCTTTGTCGTATCAAGGTAGTATGGATTGTTTGAATACCGTACAGCATAGTGGACACTATTGCAGAAACATACTACTTAACATAGGTACCAACCCAGGGGTCTACAATTAATTGATGCGCGTTCGTTGTCCTTGAACTTAGCAGAGATCGATGATCTGTTGGATATTCAGTACCCCGACTGCCGGGTGATTTGGCTATGGCTCAGCGACATTTCAGAAGCCCTAAAAAGGATGTCTTTAAGTTTTCGGGATGCCGTAAGTCATTAGAATATCACCTTTAAGACGCCCGTACTCTAATGTGTAAAGGTTCGGTGATTGGAGGCGCTCTTCATAAGACTTGAGTTTTAGCCCCCAAACTGATTTCGAGGCTAGCTGTTGTATTCGTTCTAGAGCGTCCTTATCTTTTTAAGGTGAGCGAGGAAAAACAATGTTTCCTTATTCTAACTGGGGTCAAATAAAACTGTTGCACATTATGTGGAATACTCATCCGTTGAACTGATCATAAATGTGCTTCAACATCAACATTGCAAGGTTTACTCGAAAATAATTTTCGTCGCATTTCGCGTAAGACTTCAAGTTATATGGTACCAAGGCTTCTATATCTTTTTCATTCTCTGGAGCGGAGTTGCCTTAAGTTGTAATTGTAGTCTGCATAAAATCCGAGATGGACTGCCTTACACCTTGTTGTGCTAAAGGTAAGTTCGTTGAAGACGAGTCACATCCCCTTCAAGTGCCAGGTCATCCCCTTGATTACCTACTCTTCCTCAGAATTCCATGTGACCTGTGGAAAGTAAGATATCTTTCGATAAATCCGGCGGAGGATATTTTTATATAAATCAAGAGAATAAGAGGTCCTAGTACAGAACCCTGGGGGACTACGTTAAGACATTCCCCAGCTTGAAAGCAAGAGAAGTTAACCCTGAGCCTAAAATAAAGAGTTTTTGGATATGAAGTGGGTCTATCAATTAAAGGTGATTTGGTACCTAATCGTTTGAATTCATTGAAATGAGATATATGGCTGAACCTATCAAAGCTTTTGAGAAACTGTGCTATTGGGGAGAAAAGAAGTTAATTGATAGTAAGTAGTAATGTATTAGTGCGTGTCAGGGATTCCATAACTTTTGGGGCTATGCAAATAAGTGATATCAGCCGGTAGCCTGAAGGTTCGCTTCGTCAACCTCCTTTGAAAATTGTTGTTTTACGAGCCAGATTCCAGTTCTTTTGCAATGTACCTCGTTTCAGCGAATATGAGAAATCATGCTAATCAGTGTTGCCGAGATTAAAGCTCCCTCCCTCAGTATAGCAGAATGGACCAAATCTAGGCCTTGATATGGAAAATGAACAAAAAACTATGTTTCTAAAATTCACCATCAATAACGAACTTTTCTAGATGATATCTCAACTAAATGACTTCGCTCCTGATTCATTCCCCGTGGTGTCTCTAGATGCTCTCCCACTATCGAGTCAAGTCAAAGAGCTGTTACAGGCTAAATTGTTAGCTATGAATCCGAAACTTCACCTCTTATTAGTGGCGATTCCCGCGGTTATATGTCAGTCTTGAGTCTTTATATATACAAATGCCTCAGGAAGTTTTATTAAACATCTTATTTGCATGTGACACTTTTATAATCGAACGATACCAATCTAGTCAATAAGTAGTCCGAAATGAAGAAATTCAAAGATATGTCCAGAAAGTTATCTAAAAGTCGGAAAGCTAGCAGTCGCAAGGGATGAGAAGCATAGCGTACTCACTCATGATCTGGTGCAAGTGTGTGACCTAACGCCTCCAGCTAGGGTGTATCTAGTAAAAGCAATGAGTTCAGGATCAATGTCGGAGACTTACAGAACTATTGATTTTGGGGGATTTATTTACCTCTACATATGTGAGGATATTGTCTCAGGTCTCATCTCTTGGCAGTGATAATATCTCTTTATAATGTTTGTCAGTGACATAATAAAATTATCCGTTGGCAGTACTCATGGCTTTTTTCTGGTAAGAGTGCTCTACGAATATGTTAGCATTAGACTGACAATCAATAAATCACCTTTTAAGCTGTTAGAAAAGTTTTCAATATGACTTGTTGTCAAATATTACTTTTTTGACATCGACGTACTTAAACCATGATTTAAAGGCACTGGTTCATGACAAAATAATAACTCAGATATTTGATAGTAGAATTCAATTTTGATAAAACTTGGGTCGATCGTGTCGTCAGAGGAATAGTGCACAAACTTTAATCAGTATTTATTTTCATCCATCAAGCCTGATATATACTTGGAAAAAAGGTGCAATTTTAGGAGTACATTTACTAGGGTGATCTTTAGATAAAAATTACTGTAGAATTTACTAGGACAGTGTTCGAGTATATTTTTCAGATTATACTGGTAGACTGAACACCTTTCAACTGTCAGATGATCCGGTGGGCACTGTACTTTAGTTTGTTTATGTGTGGCTGTAAAATGATCCTCGAAATAAACAGTTCCGTTGGCTTTTATCGTTGAGGCAAACCTTGTTGGTTTTTGCAGAAACACTTTTAGTTGAACGCCCTCAAATTAGTATACACGCTGGACCTCATTTGTGTATGATGTGTGGCTCACGACATGGTTTGAAAGTAAAGCCACCCAAAACCACAAGGAAGTCCTATACACAACTTTTCCTCCCTCATCTGTTCAAACGTTGGAAGAAATCTACCTACTGAGTGTAAAAGGTCAGTTTACACAAATACAAATAAAACAAGAACTTGCACGAGAGTCACTTGTGTTTACGTTCTGACAGAGCTTTTATCCGTAACAGCTTTGAATTCTGAAAATTCAGGATCCAAACAAATCAGAAATAGTTCGAAGATATACCTAGAAAGCTGTCGACATATGAGATGTTTGGTTTAAGTCAGTTAATAATAGGTGGACGTGCTTAGTAAAACACACCTCATAACGATCTGTTGCCGATTCGTGACCGGTCGCCTTCAGCTAGCGTATTTCATTTGAAAGTAAAGAGATCATTAATAAAGTCGAGGAATCGCCGGACAATTTTATTTTTTGGGACTGGCTTATCTCTGCACTTTCAATAACCAACGAATTTTCTTACTTAGCTTATGGAGATAATAATGAACATCGTCTACATGATTGCATAAACTATACGATGAAGAATTAAAAGTTTCGGTCAGTCAGTCAGCGTAGGATCAGGCACATATGTGCACCAATCCAAGTTGCCATACCTCATTAGCACAACAAGATGAACACCGAATCCATATAAGTAGCTAGTTCAATGGTAGTAATATATAAAAGATTGTGTAAAAGGATATAGTACAGGAAGAAACAATTAGTCCGTAGAAAGAAAGATATGAAGCGATTTTAATCTCAAAGTATAAGGGAAGACAGAGAGTGTATACACCGACGCCACTGTGATCCATTCTGAGCCATGTCACCATGAGTCTCCAACCATTGGTTACGATGGTTACGCGGACCCCAACCAAGTAGTTTAGTAGTATCTACCAACATGGCTCAGACTAGAGGTTAGCGACTTCAATCACCGATGCCACATTTTGGTTTGACCACTCCTAACTTTCTTCCAACCATCCCCAACACCGGTTAGCATTGTACGTTGTGGTAATCGGTGTTCGGGCATACGTAACACGTGACCCAACCATCTCAGTCGATGAAGATTCACAACCTCATCAACTGATTTACCATCATTCCCTAATACCCTGCGTCTAACCTCACTATTACTTACCCGGTGATCCCAGCAGACGCCAGCAATATTTCTGAGGCATCTGTGGTCAAATACTAGTAGCTTACGAGTGTCTTCTACTCTTAATGGCCACATTTCGCAGCCAGAACGTAACGAACTGCTGCGCAGTATACTTGTCTCTTAATTGATAGTAGGATATTTCGCCTTCGCCATAGGTGATGTAAGTTGGCGAAAGCCAAACGAGCTTTTCGAATCCGTGCTGAGATTTCGTCCGATACCAACCCATTAGGGCTGGTCAGACTTCCAAGATAAGTGAAGTTGTCAACACGTTCGACTACTTCACTCCCCATCCTTAATTCAGGTGTTGACACAGGCCAGTCCTGAAGCAAATACTTACATTTAGAGGGAGAGAAGTGCATTCCAAACATTCTGGCATTGCTGCTCAGTGCTACCAAAAGACTCTGGATTCTATCAGTCTTCACCAAACAGGACTATATCATCTGCATATTCTAAGTCGATAAGTGGACCTCCTGGTAGTAGATCAATGCCTGAAAATTCAGTCTATGAGAGCGTTATTTCCATCAGTAGGTCTATGATGAAGTTAAACAAAAATGGAGAAAGTGGACAGCCTTGAGGGACACCACTTGGGGTCGCGAAATCAGATGACAGTTCGCCATGAACTTTAGCTCGATTAACAGTGTTCGAGTAAAGAGCCTTCACAAGGTTTATGTACTTCTGAGGTACGCCTCTCAATGACATTGCCACAGACCCACTCGGTCTACAGAATCACATACTGCTTTAAAGTCAAGAAAGACCACCGTTGTCGGACGCCGATAAGGATGCCTGTGTTCTAGGACCTGACGAATGGTGAATATGTAGTCGATGCAGCCACGACCAGGCTAGTCAGTACTGTGCGTCGTGGTATACTCGATCTCCAATTGATGGATGGATAGGTGACGTGAGTCAGCAAAAGCTAAACGAGCTTTTTGAATCCGTGCAAAGATTTCGTCATATTATTTATTAGTACTGGAATAACTCTCTCAATCAGCTAACCTATTCTTGACATTCAATCAAGAGGGATAATAAGCTCGCCGCAATCACTTTCAAACCTTCATGGCACTTAGTAGATATCAAAATGGCTTTCGGGTAGATCACAAGTAATCATACTCCTTACTACCTTGCATTACCATTTTTCCATAAGTAGAGGAGCACCTCAGGATTTCATACTCAACCAATTACTTAACTTTTGTTAATGACCTAGTCATCCAAACTATGCTATATGCAAGTGATATTAGGATTTGGAGGGAAATATTATCGAGGCTTTATTAGGATATACAATTGTGCCATAAACATCTTCCTACTTAGCAGATCAGTAAGTATGAGTGGTAATCAACAGAGAATAATCCATAATATGATTTATTAGGAATTTCAGTACTAAATCCTCCATTATAGTCTCGCCTTTGCATGTAAATC